AGAGAGAGTGTGGGTGAGAGAGTGTGTGTGTGTGTGTGAGTGTGTGTGTTTATATATAGCAGCCGTTAAATTTAAAATACACGTATATAAATACAAATGTAATATGTATATTACATTTATATTTATGTACACTGCCGTTCAAAAGTTTGGGATCGGTTTTTAGAGAAGATTCTTCTGCTCATCAAGGCTATAAGTTATCTATTTGATAAAAAAAAAGTAATTTTGTGAATTATTATTGCAATTTTAAATAACAGTTAATGTACTTTAAACTGTAATGTATTTCTGTGATGCGCAGCTGTATTTTCAGCATCATTACTCCAGTCTTCAGTGTCACATGATCTTCAGAAATCATAATAATATGCTGATTTTAATATACTATTTTGAATAAATGCTCTATTTTAAACTTTGTATTAATCAAAGAATCCCGAAAAAAAGTATCACGGGTTCAAAAAATATATATTTAGCAGCGCAACAGTTTCCAGCTCTGATAACAAATCAGCATATTAGAATGATTTCTGAAGATCATGTGACACTGAAGACTGGAGTAATGATGCTGGAAATACAGCTGCGCATCACAGAAATACATTACAGTTTAATGTTTATTAAAATAGGAAAACAATTTTAGAAATTGCAATAATATTTCACAAAATATATTTTTTTTTCTGTGTTTTTGATGAAATAAATTCAGCCTTGATGAGCGGAAGACACTCAAACCTCAGCAGTGTGTGTGTAGTTTGCAGTAACTGCGCTGGTCACTGAGGGTTTGCAGTAGATCCTTCTGTGTGATTGAACCGCGCTGGACTCATGATGTCAGCAGAGCCTGATGTGCGTGTGGCTCCTGAACCCCTGCGGCTCGATCCGGTCCGGACCGCAGAACTGGTCTGCCCCGATCTGGACCTGTCTGTCCCTCTGACCCCGGAACGACCAGCAGACCGCCGCCAGCGCCAGGTTCGGTCCACACCTGTCTCTGTCTCTGTGTGTCCACTACATGATGCTGTGGCTTTGGAAAGTCTGCGAACTGGTGTTTTGTGTATTAATTAGTGCTGTCAAGCGATTAATCGCATCCAAAATAGAAGCTTACAAAATATGTGTGTGTACTGTGTATATTTTTTATATAAATACTAGGAGTGCAACGGTTCAACTTACTCACGGTTCAGTTTGTATCACATCACGGTTTTAGAGTCACGGTTTCAGTGCGGTTCGGTATGTGCTATGTTTAGGGAAAAAACTAGTGCATGCATGCCGAACCGTGTGTGGAGAACCGTACGGTTCAATTTTTTACCGAGAACCATTGCACCCCTAATAAATAAACACATTTACATTGCATATATTTCAGTCCCTCCAGGATTTTGCGATTCTGCGATCGCTGAGTTTATCGCAAAATCAAGCAAACTCCGCAATTTTCGCAAGAGCTCGCAACTTTTCGTAATTGCCGCAGATTTTGGGCTTACCGTGCGTTCACACCGCTGCCGTCAAGAGCGTCAAAGTGGCCAGAAGTCATTCATTTTCAGTGTGAGCCGGTGGCGAGCAGCGGCGCGGCGCGACTTGGACGTTGAGGGCGTCGAGGAGAGTTGAAATCAGGTCAACTTTATGGTAATGAGCTATGACGCG